GGTTACATTCTGGAGGTAGATCTCGAGTATCCGCGGGACTTGCACGACGCCGACGCGGACTTGCCGCCGTGCCCGACGCGCGATAAACCGCCCAGTAAGCGGCAGGAGAAACTGCTCGCTATTCTCTACGACAAATCGCGCTACGTGACGCACTATCGAAACCTGCAGCAATGTCTGCGACTCGGTTTTTGTCTGACGCGAGTTCTGCAATTCGCCCAGTCACCGTGGCTTCGCGGCTACATTGAGCTGAACACGACGTTCAGGACGCGCGCGAGCAACGAGTTTGAACGGAATATGTACAAACTGATGAACAATGCCATCTTCGGCAAACGATGGAGAACGTGCGCGATCACGTGGACGTGCGTCTCGTGACGCGATGGGACGGGAGGTACGGCGCGGAGGCGTTGATCGGCAGGCCGAACTTTCACAGCAGGAGCGTCTTCTTGGAGAATCTGGTCGCGATCGAGCTGCAAAGGCTTGAGATAAAATTCAACAAGCCGGTCTACGTGGGTATGTGTATTCTCGAGATATCCAAGACGCGTCTCTCTACGAGTTTTACTACGACTACATGGTGCCGCTCTATCGCGACCGGTGTCGAATTCTTTACACGGATACCGATAGTCTGATCTATTTGCTGGAGTGCGAAGACGCGTACGAGCGTATGAGACGCGACATAGACAGGTTTGACACGAGCGACTACGCGGGGAATAACGCGCACGGTATGCCGCGCGTCAATAAAAAGGTGCTCGGTTTGATGAAGGACGAGAACAACGGCGCGATCATGACGGAGTTTGTGGGCCTCAGAGCGAAGATGTACACTTACAAGGTACTCGGACGCGACGACACCAAGAGAATAAAGGGTGTTAAAAAAAACGTAGTTGCGAAAAAGATCACGTTCGAGGATTACGTGGCGTGCCTGCGGAACGCGCGCGACCTGAAGACGCGCCAGTCGTGCATACGCTCGACGTTGCACGAGGTTTACACCGTGACGGAGCAAAAACTAGCTCTCAGTCCGCACGACGATAAGCGATACGTGACGTTGGACAGCGAGGAAACGCTTCCGTGGGGACATTACGGAATACCGTTGTAAATAAAAAAGAAACAATATCATAGACTTTCTAAAAATTGTTTTATCGTAAAAAAATCAATAACACGTAAAAAACAAATCAATGAATGTGTAAACTTTTATTAATAATAAAGTACATCACGTTGGGCGTGTTTACGAATGTCTAATTATTTATGTTACAATACAGACGCCTTATCTATCCACGAATTGTGCGAACTGTCCATTCCTAGCCGCAAACTCTCGATCGACGGTGTTCTTGTTCTCGACCTCTTCGATCACGGCGCTCTTGAACCGTTCGATCGCGTCCTCTACGTAACTCCTGTTCGTCGCGTCGCGCGTCGGTGCCGAACTCCGGCGCGGCTACGCGTCGTATCTTGCGCTCCGACGCGTCGTAGGAATCCTCGTTCAAGCGGAGCGCGTCGTTCTTCAGCGTCGAGATTCCACCTCTCAATTCTTTAGTCGCGTCGTTCTTCTTAATTTCTTCGATCACGACGCTCTTGAGCTGCCCGATCGCGCCCTCTACGTCGCTCTTGTTCGTCGCGTCGGTGCCGATCTCCGGCGCGGCTACCTGCCGTATCCTGTGCTCCCTCGCGTTGTAAGAGTCCCGATTCGAGAGAAGCGCGTCGTTCCTCACCGCTGCTATCTCACCTTGCAATTCTTCGGTCGCGCTTTTCTTCGATCGTCCGATCGCGTCCTCGACGTAACTCTTGTTCGTCGCGTCGGTGCCGATCTCTGGCGCAGCTACTTGCCGTATCTTGCGTTCCTTCGCATCTTAAAAACCACCGTCGATTCCGTCACCGTTGCTCCGATTTGTCAGAGACATGCCGAATTTGTTCACGGACATCGCGCGCGGGAGAGGCGCTGCAGAGCGCGTGATTTGTACTGCCGTCGCGATCGACGCGGCCGATCAATTTATGACGAAACCGACCTTGCGAAGTTCCTCGATTATCGACAGAATTTCGTTGCCGTGAGCGTCGTTGCCGGCCCGACGAGAGGCGTTTAGCAGTCGAAGTCTATCGACCAGCTCGTTGGGATCGTCCCAGTGAACGTAATCGATCACGTTGTCGGTCAGTCGCATGGCCGACGGTAGTCCAGCACCCTTCGTAGTCCCAACTTTCTGAGACGGGTGTGCGAGCGGCGCTATTATTTTTGTGTACTTGTATTTCTTGTTGCCCTTGACAGGCCTGCCGGCGCTGCGATCGCGTTTGTGAGCGCTGGTAGCGAAAAGTATTCTCCTGTACGTTCGTTTGTCCTTGTCCGTAAAGATTCTAGCGTCGGGAGTTTGCTTAAAGATCAACTCGTACAGACCGCGCGTGCCCTTGTACCGTACACCGTCGATGATCACGGAGTCATCTGCAGCCACGTCAAATCGTTTGTTATCCAGCATCGTGCCGTTCTCGTCGAGATACACTCCGTAGACGTGGTCGATCTCCTTTTTTCTGTCGCCGCTCAGAAGAGCGCCCACGTATTCCCGCCCTAACGGTCCTAGTTGGCTATCCAGAGCGTCGCGACCTTACTCCGTACTCAAAGATTCCCTGACGGACGTCTCTAGCGCGGGCGGTAGAGTCGTTGTCTTCGAGACGATCTCACGTTCTTTGGGTAAGAACTGGACCGAATCGGCGTGGATCAGCGTGGAGCTCGTGATAGTCGTCAACGCGGGAGCCGAACTCAACCGTGCTTGACGCGACTCTCTTTTTTCCGCTGTCGTCGTTGTCCTGATTAGTGTGAATACGTCGTCGTCGTCCTCCCCGTAATTGCGCTCCAGGTCGGCGACAGCATTGTCGTCGTCGTCGTCGTCGCCGTTCTCGCTATCCTTTTTCGCTCTCTTCGTCGTTTTCATCTTTCTCGCGAGCGTAAAGTTACCGCCGTCGTCGTCGTCTCGTCAACCTTGCCCGGTCCTTTATCCCTACGTTCCACGTCATCGGCGAGCCATTTCAGAGGTTTGACGATGGGCTCGTACCTCTTTTCCAGAGCGATCTCGCTCTCCATTTTTCCGGCCATGAGAGCGGCGTACTGTGAATCGAAGCGCGCGTTTTGGCTATCTCTCGCGCGGTCCTCTCTTTCGCGATTGCGCTCATACTCGCGTCGTTCGGCGAAGCGCACTGATCGGCTCTACAGCACGGCAAAGTAGTGGTACCCCCGTCTGTACCGTCCGCCTCGCAACGCGCTGTCCTTGTCTATCACGGCAAAACCGTAGGTGCGTCGCCAACACTCGCGACAGAAGGCGCGAAACTCGTCGTACGACATGTCGATGTTCACGTGATCGTCGTACACGTGTCGCAGATTGGTGCCATCCTGCCTGAACAGAATCAACAGATTTGCGTTATCGCGCACGAGATGTTTCGGTATTTTGGCATACATCTGACAGAGGTAGAAGCAATCGATATTCGAATGTCAACCCGTAGAAAAGTACTCCCTCATTCTGTCCTGCTTGTCGCAGGCCACGTCATCGAAGACGAAGACCGAGTCGGGAAGCGCCTCGTCGGGCGGAACGACGTTGCGATTGTCGGAAAACGCGCGATAGCTGATCTCGTCCATGGGCTCAAACAATAGTTCGAGATATCGATACTTTGGTTGCTGCAGAGATTTCGAGTACACGTATACGTTCTCGAAACGAAGACCGTGCGGTTGTTCCAGCAGACTTACCAGAACGTTCGTCTTACCGCAGTTAGAGGGACCGCAAATGATGCAACGTACGACGTTCGGTAAGAGGACCGTTCGGTAAGAGGACCGTGTCTGCGCTTCTTCCCTCGCGCCCGACCTTGCCAGCGTTTTGCGATCCACATTCGAGACTCCTATCGTCACCGACTGTCGCACAAATCGCATTGTGCCTTCTCTCTCTCTCTCTCTCTCTTTCTCTCTCTCGGTTTTTTCCACAAGCGCGCGCTCGTTCGCGATGAGCCTCCGAGCGCCGAGGTAAAGGAGCGGAGCACGGACGTCGTTTCGTTTCGTCGCGCGTGCGCAAACGCTTTGCGCGCAAACGTTTTGCGCGCAAATATAAGTAGCGCGAGCATGTCGCCGTATCCGTAGAAATTTGATCTAAGAAGCAACGAATGGTTCGCGCGCGTCAGTGATTGAGATGTTTCCCATTATACTGACGGACAGACGCGATATTCTCGATCTGACCGCCGAGGAGCTGGAATTCGTTCCAAAGATCGTTCTGTTGCGTAAATTTGAGAAATATGTGCAACTGCTGTGGGACCGTTTGCCTGAACATAAAAGCGGATCCCAAGGTGCAGAGATAACGCTCGTGTATGGAACATTACAATCGTCCGTGGTAGCGAACGCACATAGACGGTCCACCACCGCTTGTCAAGGACTGCTACGAGTGCAACCGCGCGCTCACTCTGAACGGTGAGTCGTCAAAACGTTTCCGTTCGAATTAAGAAGAAAAAAACCTTCCCGCAACCGCGACCGAATGCGCGGCGCCGGTCTACTCAATCGCGCGATAAACGCTCTTCCCTTCGAGCTGCACATACCCGGTTATCAGTTTTGCGGGCCTGGTACGCGTCTAGCGAAAAGACTAGCGCGCGGCGAAGAACGCATCAAGCCGTTGGACGCGGCGAGTCGAGAGCACATCCAGTCGCCGCAGTTAGTGTGTGTGTGTGTGTGTGTGTGTGTGTGTGCGTGCGTGCGTGCGTGCGTGCGTGCGTGCGTGCGTGCGTGTGCGCGCGCGCGCGCGTGTCTCCGCGACCTGAAGAGAGAGCGAGAGCGAGAGGGATGCTCGTTCTGAACGGATCGAGCGCGGATTGCACGAACGAGCGAGCTAGCCCGTTTTACGACAAAATCGAAAGCGTAAGGAAGAGAAGAGGTGGTGGAGGAGGAGGAAGGAGAGCCGTCCTCAGCAACGCCAACGTCAGGTTCCTACGATCGCTGGGTGTCGCCGTGAGAAACGCTTCGCCGCCGCTTTGTTTCCACACCGAAAGGAAAAACCATGGCCGACATCCTGAGTATCGGCGGTGAGCCGATCTTCGACGAGCGCATTGTCGGAATCGAGACTCACACATATAACCCGTATGTCAACACGACGTTCGGGCACAACGACGAGATACGAATACCCATACAGCAGCGGGATCTGTATACGCTGCCGTGCGACAGTTTCCTGTACGTCAAGGGACGACTCTATGACGACGGCGCAACGACGTCGGAGGCGAGGGACGATCAAAGGCAATACGCGAAATTGGTCAACAACTGCGTCGCGTTTATGTTCGACGAGATTCGATACGAACTCGACGGCGTGGAGATCGACCGGTGTAGAAATGTCGGAATAACCAGCACGATAAAGAACTACGTGTCGCTGACCGCCGAACGAGCCAGGAGACTGCAGAACGCCGGATGGAGTTATCCGACGAACGAATCGAATCTGAACAGCGCATCCCGTCAATTCTACTTTTGCGTGCCTTTGAATATTTTTTTGGGTTTCTGCGAGGACTACAAACGCGTGGTAATAAACGCGCGACACAAGTTTATCCTGATACGAGCTCGTAACGACGTCAACTGCGTCGTAGATCCGAAAAAAATCGTGCCGAGAGATCCAGCCAAGGATCCTAAAATTACGCTATTAAAGGTGCAATGGCGTATGCCGCACGTGGCGTTAAACGACGTGACTAAATTGTCGCTATTACGAACGTTGGAAAGCGGACGATTTCTGAGCGCGGACTTTTGCTCTTGGGACCTGTACGAATTTCCCTTGCTGCAGAGCACGACCAAGCATTCGTGGGCCGTCAAAGTCGCACCGCAGTTGGATACGTCATATTTGCGCTGCAGACCGGACGGCGAAATGAATTCACGGAGGACTCCTCGAGGTTCGATCATTGCGCGCTCGCCAACGTGAAATTGTATCTCAACTCGGAATTCTATCTCTACGACGACGTGAACGCGGATTTCGCCGTGCTATACGAGATGTACGCGAAATTTTGAGGAGCGTACTATGGGGACAGTCGCGACGACGCGCTCTTCTCCCCGCGCGAATTCGCGCGGGTAGCTCCGCTCGTGGTGATCGATTGTTCTCGCCAAAACGAAGCGGTGAAGAGCGCCACCGTGGACGTGCGCATCGAATTCAAATACAAAGAAAACGTTCCGCCGAAGACCACCGCCTTTTGTCTCATCGTTCACGATCGCATCATCGAGTACGGTCCACTGACCAACGTGGTGCGCAAAATTATCTAACGTGAAAATGCGATTGTCGGATACCACATCCCGGAAATGGGAGATATATAAATACGGGGATCCCCATCCCTTCGATCGTTCCTGAGATCCCGTTAAGAACGAGCAGCTTGAGTGTGAATTGTTCGACGCGCACCGACTCAATGGCCGCAGCGGCAACGACGATGACGATCTTCGTCGTCTTGCAGGGATTTGTGGTGAGCGACATATTCGTCGCGAAGGAGGTGGCCGTGCTCCGAAGCGAGACGCGCGAATTTGCGCATCACGTGTTTCGCGCGCCGATGGCGTGGAACCTCCTCACGATCGCCGAGAAAGCAAGGGCCAGCTGGTTGATGGCGAATCATCACGGCCTCCATTGGAAAGACGGGGACGTGGACTATCGCCTAGCTAGGTCGATTATTCGACGCGCGGTGTGCGACGACCTGGGTGAGAGAGGAGAGACGCTCGGCGCGCGGATATACGTGAAAGGGCTCGAGAAGAAGAGGTGGCTGGAGAGATCCTCGGCAACGCCGTTCGCGACGTCGACGCGACGATCGAGACCATCGACGCCGAGTACGACGACATCGATCGCTTGGTTTCTTCGCGCCGATCGCGCATTTCGCTGCGGACGCCATCAACGGTGCTGCGCGATAAAGAACGTGATGAAGTTGCGCGACTGGTGGAACGAGCGACGCGAGTGTCTCTCCAGCATCGAATCCACAGATCAAATATAAATGTGTATTCATCCGTCCATCCATCTATGTATATATATATATATTTTAATCAATAATAAAAAAAACTGATGCAAAATCGAACAAAGTTATTCATTTTTTTACATACCTATACTATATATATATATACTATATACTATATATATATATATATATATATATACTATATATATATATATATACAATTGTACTCGATATATGTGTGAATATTAATGCGTCACACGTGTGCAATGTATGATTTTTCAAACGTTCATGCACTTGTGTTTCAATGTGCACGTGTGAAAAACAGAGAAACGCACTAGGGAATGTGTATAAAATACACACTTCAACGTGTGAATTTAGTAAAACATCTACCATTTGTATGAAATAGTCAAGCACCATAGTATTCACACATGTGTAATGTTTCTTTGTGTGTGAATATAACACATTTTGGGGAAAGTTACACACTGAGTATAATAACACACTTACTAGTCACACACTGACCAGTTACATATCACGCAGGTACGCATCAGCAACGCTTATATATGTGATGAGTTAAAATATAAATTTGAAGTGTAGGCTCAGTTTGGAAAATCCAAGTAGAGAAGACGGGCTAAATAAAAACCATGGAGTTGTTGATGGTGCGCAAGTTTTTATTACCATCAACAGCGTCATGGCTCATATTTAGCCCGTCTTCTCTATTTATAGAATATAAAAGCTATATATAAGCGCCACATTAATTAAAATATATATTTTATCTAAAAATTAGCTATAGGTATCTCTACATATAATTAAAATGATGTATCACTGTATGCTGTGGAATGAATTATATGTCCAGAAAGTTGGGATTTTTTTAAAGAATCACATCTTAAAGATAGAAACATTTTTTATTGCAAAAACTTGAAAAGGCATATTACGTAAAACATAAAACTGGTTTTTAATGCTAGTACATTATTTATACTCCAAATTCTGTCCTTGTTGAATTAAATAAGACAATGTAAATTTCCGATTGATATTTATATCGTGACAGTGATGCGGATAAATTAAATTTGAAAGACTTATAGCACCATTTATTATGAGTCTTGTCATCTGTACCTTGTAGGCATTCAAAGTTTTCTTAAAAGATAAGGTTTCCAGTTCCGTATACAACAAAATTTTTTTGTTTGCGTAGACTACAATTTGCGTTACCTGACCAAACTTTGGAAAGTTATCCTCAACATTCTGTAAAAGAATTACAGAGTCTTTTCTATACACGGTGCCATGGATGTACAAAAACGGAGCAAACATAACAAGTGCATCATCTCTTACTTGTAGTAGTTCTGTGAGAACGTGACACATATCATGATCTTTAAGATGGATTTTCTCTCCACTCCTAACAACATCTCCGCTATACAAAAACTTTCTTGAAGATGTACCTTGAAGATGGTATAGAAGCTAACTGTGATGCCATTTGAGCTTGGCGTCTCAAAGCCAAGGTGTAGGGAACATTAATGTAATACTTTAGTTTGGCTATCAGTTGTTTGGAATATGCATCAGCACCTTCAAAACGAAAACACGATTGTTGACGAATTGGTCCAAACAAGAGAATTTAACTGCAGAGGTGCACGAGGTAATGCATCTTGGGAGTCTTGTTTTAATTCGGATAAAGTACAGGATAAAATTTGTAAGATGCACTTTAACCATTCTCTTTAATAAAAAAGCATCCTTAACCTCAAGTTCAAAAGACATAGCCAAATTGATTATTTGAAGTAAAAAAATGTAATTTGACAGATGGCTCCTGTCCTCATTAATAATCCATTGCCCAATTAAAAAAAGCAGAAAATTCCCTAGTGTTTGCATTTGTGCTGCTCCTTGCTTCAGGCCATTTGCTAAGTAAATTGGCTCAATTGGTGAAGGTTTATCTTTAACAAGATGGCCAAAATCAAAGCTGGCAATACTGGCATTCAAATCTTGGAGGGTGAATCTTTTATTTTCTACAATGCAGTACGTGAGAAAAATTTTAATTTCCACTGCTAGAGTTCCGTCTTCAAACATAATGTGCATAAAATCATGGGGAAAAATTTTAGTGACATCAGTATTGTCAAGATTTATACATGCACTTCTGAAGTTTACCCCGTGGAATGCAGACCAAAAGTCTCGGGCTTGTTTTGTTAACCCAGAAGAAGTCACATCCTCACAATGTTGAGTATGAGTTTCCATATTTCTCATTACAAAAAGCTCCTCAGAAAACCTTTCTTAAATACTTGATTTATCTGCAAGACAAGTGCGACATGGTCTATGTGCCTTACCAACTTCTTCCTTAAATCCACCGAGGTATGCAGATGCAAGAGTATCTCCAGCTACAAAATTGAGGAAACCTGTGAATTTTCTCTGTACACCTTTTATATTCATTAAAACACCCTCCTCACGTCCAAGCAGTGCTAAATCGCTAAAGAAGTTATTCAAAACCTTTTCTGCACCATGTTTTTTCAAATGTGCATGTGAAGTGATTGCGAGCAGATTTATTGATCTAAGAGATGATCTTAACTCTGGGTAAATATTCCCTAGTGTCCAATAAAACATTACTAATTTTCTGGTCTTAGCACCCAGTGGATTGGCAAACTCCACATTGTCATAATAGACAATGATAAAAAGTGCCTTTCTGTCGCGCTTAAATACTCCACGGAAGCGGTAATAAGAACCATCCAATACAGTCCTTATAGTGCCATCATGAGGCTTTGGGTTATCTACGCATGAGAGAACATCATCATTATTTAAGTAAAGTTCCAAGTTTCTTAGGAAAGGAACTATATATGCGTAGTCCTTGCGATTTACAAGCTTACCACCCTTGATCCAAACTCTTGATGAGTTAATTTTTTTTTCTCTGGTCTCACCATACCACATTTATCAAGAAAAGATTTTATTCTTGCAGAGCTGCTAACTTCACGAAACAGATCCAACCCGTCACAGTTTGCAAACACTTGCAATACGTCAGTACGGGAAACAGCTTTTGTTTCTTCATTGATCAAATCCAAAATCATTGTCTAGGGAGTAAGAAAACAAGCTTATAAATAATGATAAAGTTCCCCAAGTAAAGTGTGGATTTTATTGTACAAGTAACAATTTGCTGTGAAAGGATTCTTATTCACCTTCACAATGCTGGTAATTTCCTCGATCAACTGTTGTGCTCCCTCAATTACTTTTTCTACTGTAGTTTGAGGAATACTGTATGATTCTTTGAGATTAACTACAAACATGGAGGCATGCCACCGAAGTAAATCTTACTTTGAAATGAGCGGCTCATCATCTAAATAAAAATCGACATTACGTTATAACGTCATAAATGTGATAAAAAATACAGATTAGTTTTATGGAGAGATTGTAAGTGTAAAAGTATGTAGCAAAATTTAAGTAAAAGTGCAAAGTTAATAATTTACCTGATTCATTCCTTTTATCTTGGTAAGGTTCAAGAATATCTATTACCACACCTTCGATATTTTCATCATCGATGTTAACGTAAATTTACTTGATGCACTCTTTTGACATGCTTTTGAAACGATGGCCATTTCTTGTAACTACCTAGTGAGAAAGCTAATATCGAAACGATATCGAAACGACGTCGAAATTAGCTTAAACGTCGAAATTAGCTCGATGCCGCTGGCAAGGGTAAAAAAAGTCAACGTTTGTTTGAATTTTGACATATTTTCGAGTAATCTTAAATAAACTGACATGAATGATAGACAGTCACTCCTGTTATTGTTTTGTTCAATTTTACTGTTGTAACTCTACGCACATCCGTTTATATGCAAAATCTCGATTCGAGGTCAAAATGATATGTTGTGCCGTGCCTCTGATTCGAGGGGTCGGCACTGAGTTCTTTGGATCCGCCGGGAGGAAAGGAGAATAACGTTGCCAGAGTTCTTGTCCAACGATATTTTAATAAAGACCTTTTTTACTTGATACACTAGTGTCGTTGATTTCGTTGCCCTGACTCGCGGGC